AAAGCGCAATATGCACCTTTTAAAATGTGAAAAAATGACGGAAAAGGGATTACCTCTGCTACTGCCGAACATTTCAGTCTCCCTACCAACATAACATTTCAGTTGGTAATTTTAGCTCTGAAACGGCATATATAATGAAATATAAAAAGTCAGCTTTTGAAATGTTGACATTAGGAACTAGATGTTACGTTTTCAGAGATTTTATTGTTCGGTCTAAAACATTTCAAAGGGCGCCAATGACTCGGAAGCGGGATAAACCATCCGCGATGACAAATAGTTCGGTAACAGAACACATAATGTAAGGATGTTCGCCTAAATCAACACACAGCGAAACAAAATCAAATTATTTTACAAAATGCGTCATTTATAAAAAGTTTGTAAATCTGTAGATAAATATATATGCAGATGCTTGACGCACGTGCGTATTTTTTTATGATCACAAAACAAAAACAAAATTATTAGAAATTTTAAGACATATACCATGGGGTAGGGAAATCATTTTAATGTGTCGATTTCTGTGCTTGGTGGAGTAATTGTGGTTGTCGCGTGCTGTAAAACCGGAACAGAGTAGCGTCATCGGAAGTGGCAGTTTGTTGATATCAGCCAGCGGAGCGTCTACTTTCGGTTTATACATTTTCTAAAGCTTTTCCTATATTTGCTTAGGAAATAAAACGTCGATATCTTGATAATATTTCCAATTACTTATTGTTGAAAGAGAAACACGTAAACAAACCGTCATATGCATGAATTCGGACAAATCAATCTAATGCAAATACACCGCGTATTTGTTTTGAGAACTGGAAACATTTGTACCCAGGTGCGAATCAATTCGATATTTGTCAGTAAATAGTTGTTTTTCGTCCACTTTCACTCAATCAATGCCATTCATTAGCGTTTCAATATAAATGGTTGGTATAATTGCCTGTTTTGACCAAAAACAAATACTGATTACGGGTCGAGCCCTGACCCGTTTGTATCGGAATTGTAATAAGTGTAATAGCGGGTAGGATATCGGGGCTACCAAGTGCACTGATTGACCGTTTCTGTGACGTAGCTAAAGCTACAATTTATTTTTTAGATAATTGGTAATAAAGGGGTGGAATTAGTACTTCTAACAATGATCCGTATACATACTACTACCGGTCATTTACCTATCAAACCAATTCACATTTACAAGCAAAACCATCAACAGTTAATATCATATATATATAATATTAATGATTTTAACAAAAACTCTGATTTGTTTTCAAATAGTTGTAGAACACTGTAATTACAACAATATGTTGTCAATTAATTTGTATTCATTTTAAATGGTGTGATATGTAACATCGCATTTTCTCTAATGATTTATAAACCCATATAAGCTTTATTGGGAGTGAATCGATCTTCAAACGAACACGTGTGTTTTGAAATAAACCGGGTTGAAACTGCTTCGTCGATAAACAATGCCCACGTGACAGAAGGCGTCTAGGGAATTGACCTTTGACCCAACACGTCCCTTCTGCTCTCATCAGGTTTAAACGTTTCTTGTGGCATTAGCATCAATTCGGCAAAACTTGATTTGACAAACGTTTAGTGAAACATAATTGTAAAGAAACCACTACGAATATTTGTAAAATAATCGTTTTATCTATATTCCATCCTTACATTAATTTCTAGACAATTTCACGGTTGTATTGGAGAAATTTGACAGGAGTTGACACTTTCAACATTGTAGTAGAGATAGACGATATTCGGTGATAAACACAGAGGCTGTGGTTCACCGACCACCAAAGGCAGAAATGGATTTCACAAGAGGAGTAGACACACAGAACGATATCTCAGGCCATTCGCTTGTTCTCTTTTATTAATGAATAATTTCTTCAAATCATCTTTCAGATCGTATTTCATTTGTCAAAAATAACCCTACAAACTTGCAATTTACGAGGTCCGTTTTCCCTACATCCATTCTCCGATTTCTATTACTGAATTTCTTAATCTTCTGTCATCGTGTTCATACTGAAAGCTACAGCGCATTCAAAAGATGCTTTTTTATAAAGATGAATCGGAAACCGTATAGAAATATCCGGATAGCCAGTGGGTACTTAACCCCGCCCATTATCGCCGCGGATGAATACAATGTGAACTCTAGTCAACCGTAAAATAATTAGACAGGCATCAGAAACATTGCGGTACCAACCCGAATTATATCTGTTGGTGTTTATCATTTTTATCAATTGAAAATTCTTAGTTGTGTACATCATTCTTAAACCATACCTTCCTTGATCTGAACACACAAAACACACGTTAACCTTTTTATCTGTCCCAATAATTATCTCGGATTTATCATTGAATAAACGATAAGGATACACTGACAAACAATTGAATATGTTTTTGTAGCCAGGAGAGATTAAGATAAACAAATAAGCGTCGCAAGTCGAGAAGGAAAACATCCGATTCTGAAGATCGCTTTATCATTTCAAGTGGCAGATTGCATGAATTTCTGTAATAAGACGATCAGAAAATAAATATATTTTTGACATTTGGACTTAGACAACTAAACCATTTTATACCTTACAGATAAGATTGAAGTGAAGATGGTGCTGAAGTAATTCATTTTGGGATAACAAGATATCAGTGCGGACCTTATATAACTCCTTCATCTATAGGCTCCGCTATTTCTCTGGTAGCAGGACAAATTGTTTGTCTGGTAACTGAAATCTCGACCAAGAAGCATTACTTAAACAAAAGCCTAATAAAACTTTCGACAGCATACTATCACAATAAAACTTAGGATATGTCAAAAGCTAGAATGTACATTTTAAGAAGATAAACTGATTATTTCTTGTCAGTTTAACTTGAACAAATCTTATTAAATTTACTTTCAGTTATTGGCGAAACCTAGTACGACTCTGGTAATGTCGCCTCACACACGCAGACCTAACCAAAAACACATGCCTCATTTCCACATCTTACATTTCTACATCCGCGAACATCATCTCCGTCTCGACGTTTATTAAATTTCCTATATGATTTCTGTATCACATGTCATTACGTGTATGTAGTGGAGTCGAGGATGTGTTCCGCATCCTGGCAGGGAAGTCCATCAAAATCAGTCCCACCCAAATACCCCAGGCTCCCCCTCCCAGTCACAATCTCTCAGACTTTAGATCACACATGCAAGTTAATATAATTGTAATTAGGATAATAAAAAGAGCCGCCGTTTTTCAGTTTAGAATTTAACAGGTGATGTGATAAAACGTCTGGCTAATGATGGACTTTTATTTGTTATACAACTCTTTATAAGCATTACAAATAATACTATGACACCTTATTAAATTTCCATGTTTTATATATATTTAATCGTTATCGGGACTTGTTTACAATTAAGTTGTATTTCTTTTGAAATTAATTTTCAAAACTCTAGCGATATATATACTTTAAACCAATTTTTGTCCTATTAATATATAAAAAAATATTTATCTAGCTTTAAGTGCATCAAATCTAATTGCAAGTTAATATGATGTACAAATTTCATGTTTTAGTCATGACTTCCTACTGGGATACTGTAAATTGTCACTTCCAATGAAAAGCCTCCCTATTTGAATTCGTAGACAGATAATTGTTATCGCTGGAATAAATAGATAGACTAGCCAAGTTTACAAGAACGTGTCAACTTCAATTCCCAACGCCGTCAGTCGGGTAGTTTATCGTCGGTTTAGAGTTAAATTTATCTTTTATTTGGTCATATCAGGTGGTATCAAACCAATATCTGGGCAAACTTTTATCAGATTAATAGCAATGGTTTTATTTGTTTTACTGATAACTTCAAGAAAATATAATCAAATGTATTACTCTAAAGATTTTATACTGAAATGAATTTCATTTCAAACAAAGGCTGAGAAAAAGAAATAAACTAACTGGCACCTCTCAACAATTATAAATATTTTATTGAAAATTATAAATCTGCGGCATGGCAAATTTCCAGAGCTACTGGATTTATTGATTGAGTTTTGGTACACATATTTTCTGCCTGTAAATAATAATTTTATTTAAGTCTTTTTTTATAAATATTCTTGTTTTTTTAAGGACAAGGAATTTGTTAGGAAATATGTCAGTGGAATAAAAATAAATCAATCTAATAAATTGTTCCAGGTGTGAACAGGTATTCTGATTCTTTTATCAATGTGCCGCCAGGTCGATCTGAGGAAGTCTACGGCTAGAGTGGCACCAAGAAACTGAATGGCGTCTAATACAGGAGGGAAGCAGGTCGATATCAGAGTTGTAATAATTATACTCCACAATATGTATTCATTATGAAATGTCGTTTTTGAAATCTTGAGTTCCTTACTTTGGCCGAGATAGGAGAATTGATCGAGCTTGTGTTTCTGAAATCTTTGCGTCCCACGTTTGTTCCGTCATTGTTCATTGTGTCTGTGTTTATTATATACAAATATGAAGTGTTTTACAGATTTTTATTTTCGTTCAAAGATATAATAATCAATTCTTGTATTTATTTAGTAGAGGAAATGGCGAATAGATCGAATCATTTAAACAGATTTAGATTGGAGACAATGAAATATACTTCTTTGTTATTTTTAAAGGCAAAAGGTTTGGAAGACAACGGCTAAAAGGATCTTTTTAACAAAGACAAAGTCGTGTTCTCCATTTCTGACAATTATATTAGGGAGGGGTTTAGGTAGGTATTCATTACAACTGTGTAGGGTGCGTCATACGACAATCGGGGGTAAACAGGTACGATGTGACCAAAAACAACAGGACGGGGGATGTTTTTCTCTGTGATTCATGCAAAATCGACTACAGTTGCAATAATCTATATAGAAAATATAATCAACACAATAATTAAGTATAACAATTTTACAAAGTACATGCAAAAAAATGATAGAAGATAAATGAAAAGTAAAGTAACCCAATAAAGAATATCAAACTGGCCCTTCTGCAAGTTTTCAAATCTGGTCTATTAAAAAAATTGTAACTTTTTCAAATTAGTTTCCACTTACTTTGAATTTGTGCAGTCTTCATAGAGGATGTCAAACTCCTTACACGAGATGAGCTTACATCGGTTCACCCCGGGCTGGATGGAGCCCAACCCCCGGAGAATTCGCACCTGTTCCACATTGCAGACCACGGGCAGGATGTCCAGTCTTTTGAGTTTGGTGTAGACTGTGTGAAGTCCTCCCACAAGATGTTTCAGGAAAAGTTCAAAAGCCTGGGGCAGGCAGATAAGTTCCCGGCCGTCAACCACAAATGCTGCAACTTTAGCACTTCTATATTCAATTAATTTACAAATATTGTTGTCCGGGTTACACGCTATTGGCGGTGGTGAGCTGTATGTCGTCGCCTTGTGAAGTTTACTAAGTAAACTATTGTTGTGATTTACCGTCGGAATCATCCCGTGTGTGAGGCTGATCGTCCCGGGGGTAGGTCCTGGGCTGGAGTGGGCCCGAGGGGGTGAGGGGTAGGGATCGCCTTTAAGGTGTCCTAATGGAGACTCCATGTAGTCTGAGCCGATAGTATGCATGTACACCTCCTACTATCGACTACTAGTAGATAAATATTGCTGCTTTCTCTTTACAAATGTAGATCTATATCCGTCAATGGAAAATTATATTCTGGAGTTGCAATTCAACAGTTCTGTCACTTCAATGTACTGATCCCAACCGAATGGAAATGTTCACCTATTATTACCTCAACCGAATCAATCGTAAAGGCTCTAACCGTGGCGACACAATAATAGCCCTGCACACAGATATTATTCCTATAAGCGTGTTTTTGTAAGATAAATACAACCTCGCTACTTAGGCTGTTATGTGCCTAATCGGGGCCTGAGAGCGTACCACTGCGCATGATCACACCGGAACTATTTTACAACGTAAACACGGGGTATTGCACACACGCTCTGACAGGGCCTATGACATGTGTATACGAACATGTGATAGATGTCAGATACATTACAAGGGGGTGTTTTGTGATACGTCTGAAGACTTCAGTGCGGGCGGAGTTAAAAACATACACGTTTAACACAGGAAAAATGAAATTTAACATAAATATTTTTTACAAAATTGGATTCTACAAATATCGATTATTCTTACTCCTAAATACGTTATGCTTCAGTGAATAATTTTCTAAAATCGATGGAAAGTGACTTGTTACAATCGATGGCTGAATTCATAGACAATGACCAGCGAGTGTGAAAAATTAAATGGCTCGGCCAGAAACATGATTGGTACAGATATATCATTCTTATTTTCCTTGACAAGAGAGATAAATTAATTGATGACCCTAATTTAATTATTTTCCATACGAGTGCGGATACGCTAACATTTAGCTAGATGTTCCCGTTCTGTCAGCGTTTCGCCTCTTAGTACATCAAAGATTGTTTTTCTAGTTTTCAAAGATTCTCTTTATCTGTAATCAATTGTCCATGTGTGTATGTGTGGCTTTGATAGAATATAAACACAACCACACCACCGATACACTGAACGAATGAAAATGATGAAATGCGTGCACAATCTAATAACCCTTCGTTTGATTGTTTGAAATTGGTTAGAAACTCGAGTTTTGGCCCATTCTCTGGCTTTGTTGGCTGGGTGGTTAGTCCTTTTTATGTGCAGTAGAGTCGGGTTAATTAACTTAGAATAACAAACGCATAAAATAACAATCAAACATCAAAAATAGCTAATCAAATGAGGAAACTAAAAACGGACATGGTGGAAACGCTCGCGTCGGAGATAGGTTTTCTGCCGTTTTTTCCTGCCTAGTTATGATATGCTGTATCATTGGTGTTTGTGTGAGTTAGGAGGAGGAGGAGGAGGAGGGGGCATTCGGTTCGCATCACATAAAATTATTCAGATCTATAAATTGATATCTATAACTGGATTTATATAAATTGATATCTACAAATTGATATCTCTAACTTAATGTAAAACAATTGGATCTTTATTTATTTATAATATTAAAAAAATATTTTCTCAAAATTTATCTTTTTATCCCTTATTCATTGGTATGTCTTTAATTTATATATTCTCCAAGATTTTTAAAGATTGAAGTCAAAACAGAGAAATAGCTGAGTTACAATATGTGATCTTAATATTCACACTTATCTCGATATTATATCGAAGTCTGGTCGTTTCTACATGTAACAAATATTTAATTTGATTTGAGCAAATAATCTGTGATGTTATCTTAATTCCTTCTTATAAGTTCGAGGCGACGACGGCCTTCTAATTGGTCCGTATATACGGTATTAAACCGCACGCGATTGTAACTATCAGCTGTGACGTAATATTAGGGTCAGCTGAAACCATGACCCCTCCTTCGGCGTTCCTTTGTGAATATAAACAAGGTCAATATAATGTCCAACAACAGATGAAGGCACAGACATTCATGACCAAATAACAGATAAAATTACTGAATTGTCGTGAGGGCCTTTATTCCGAATGATAGGCGGGCTGAGAATTGTGAAATTTAATCTCATTTTGTGTGTGTCAATCGGAAGCGGAGATTTGGCATGGTCCAACTTCATAGGATCTGTTGTCTCTACAACGACCTGTTAATGGACTCCATATTTGTGACCATATTTTATTTTCCTGCTACAATCTGTGGGAAGTTCGAGGTGATGTTATCTCTGAAGATGAGCGAAATCATACACCGCAATGAATTCAAATGAATTTGATTGTTTTATGACAGTTATTAATCTACGTTTTATTTATTCTTTTATTAACTAAAACTGTGATTTTCTGTGTGACATTTTTTTCTTAATGTGAAATATTTTAAAAAATAGAAAAGCAAAAAATAGACGTTTTTTCATTTAAATTGCCATTTTTTAATCGGTATCAAAAAGCAGACACCTATATATTAGTGCTCTGTAAAAATCAAAGTAAAACTATACTTTCTTGTGCAAATAAATTGAAATGTCATAAAAATATTTCAGTCAAACATAACAATAAAAAAAACATAATTCAATTAAAAATATAAATATTTGATTGATAGATGTAGCGCGTATGAGTCGATGCTATATGTCATTTTGATATGAGAAATGTAAGCAAGAAGGCCGATAACGGACGCTATCTCGTCCTGGTAATTGATTTCGCTCGATTCCACGTAGCACGCAGCGAAGGTAAGGGATGTGTCCAGGGCTGATTGACAGGCTTGACGATAACAACGAGGATATATTGGAAGAAATAAAATGCGATGACATCTCCTTATCAGGATGCTAACACAGACAGCACGTGACACTTATGGCAGAATAAGGGGACATCACCACAGAGTCCCTTACTTGTTTATTACATCAGGCGCGCGAGAGTTTTACCGCCAATTTACGTGTCAGCGTAATTTATTCCGCTGTCTTAGTGTTACGTAGATATGGATGTGTGTGTGGTGATGTAATAAACTGGGGCACACTGCCAGTGGGGGGCGGGGTTATTGAGGTGTAACATACGCACACCTCCCTCTCCCGTATTTTACCTCCTCCCCTATTTATGGTATAGTATACACTGTCACCGTGTCACGTGCTGCAGCGATGCTCCCTAACTCTGATTTATAATGATTGGTTACTACAATGACAGCTCCGATGTGCCATGATTTCTACAGAACCTCTGTGACATATTTAGTCAGTATATGTGCCATTGATATAATTCCATTAAAACTGTTTACTTACAATGGTATATCGATTGCAGATATATATTTTAATACACACAACATGAGTAGGTATCTGGCCTTACCACCATGTGTAGCCTGTATAACTTTCCCTGCTGGTAATCACACTGTATTTTATGATATGAAGCAGTAACCGCAGCTATACTCCGGCATTTCATCATCAAAATCAAATTTATTGTATGTTTTTTATTCCCTGACCTCATATAATATTATATCTGTAGTTTAGTGGACTGGTGTTATTGTCGAGTTATAAAAGAATATCTAGAGTTATGACAGAATTTGCTTTAAAAACAAAATCCAACAACAAATAATCAACATCATCTAATACATAGGTATCAAGACTGTCTGGGTTTAGAGGTTTATTGAACAAGTGCAAAATTAAGACTATCTCCGCGCAATTCCACTATAGATACAGGCAGATGGATGAGAATATCTAGGAATGCAACACTAGTTCACCTAAAGTGTTATATAGGTAATGTAGCCGAGCAATTGTAAATACATTTTACTATTGTTTGAGGGTTTTTTCACAATGAAATACGACAATCTATGTTCAAATTGTTAAATTCATTTAAATGGCAAATATATAGAAACTAAACAGACTTTCTAGATTTCTCAAAGCTGCTAAAAACTTATATGTCTATCGGCCATATTTATATATGTGTTTCCAATGTTTTTGCTGATTAGCAGAAATGACTGGCAGTATCACCTAAAAGCTGAGGACAGCTAGTAAGTTTCCCAATACTTTGTCCGTGTTTGATTTGAAGGAGGCATCATACTATCAAGACAATTAGTTGTTTTTTCATGTTCTTTTTTATGAAACGGTGGTGTATACAGGTGTATTGCAAATGGTTGAATTAGTTCAATTAAATTAACGTAAACACTTCACCTGATCATTTAATGCTCTTTATAAATCTAAACGTGTCATCTGATTATTTAATTACCATCAGATTTCACATTGTTAAAATTATACCTTAGCATGTAAACACAAAAATAATTCAAACACGTTGTTTATATCTGTGAACGCAGAGCGTCATACAATCTTGATAAGTGAGAATTGAACAAAACAATCTATTTTCCGTGTTCAATTTAAGTGCACATATGTATTTGGTGTTTGTTTACTGGCGGGCTGTATATTGTTCGTTGTACGTGGTATCTCAACACTTACTAAAGATCAGGATATATACCATGCATGTGTCCATTTGATAAGACTCCCAAGTTTTCAGTCAGAAACCGCAAATCACCGGCAAATAACAGAATACAGGAAAACCTGTTATTTCATTTACAAGATAGAATATATACATGTACGTATTGTTATATGTGTACAATAATTGTGTGGAATCTTTGATATATACAGGACGTTCTCTAATGAGGAAATCCACTACCGGTGTAGTATATACACGGCTTATTATACCACAATAAACTTGCATAGCAGTTTCTCCTTCGTCAGAATTTATAATTCAAAGAAATTTCATAGCATGTAAATATTATTCATAATTATTGTATTTTTTTTATGGTTCCCACCATCAATATACTATGACCAGCGCAGTAAACTGGTAACGGGTGTAATATAAGTACTGTAACATACCCTTGTCATTAACAGAGACTTATAATGTAGGTGGCACGTTAATCATATGTATGCTTCATAGAAATAAACGTCATTTCCATAGAACTTTTTATTCACAATTAGCGTTATTCACAATTGATGTAGCGTGTAATAATTAAAGTGCTTTTTTTCGTTACGTACATTTTGAGTTTATTTTTTTCTGATTTTGTGGGGAAATTTGCAAAGAGATGTCGTTTGTAAACAGAAATAATTATCAACATAATATTACATATAATCCATTAAGTTGTATCATATCTATTCATAGAAATAATTTCATATATAATTTAGACATAATATGATACATTTAATTGTAAACATTATAATGTATATAATTATAAAACATAATATTGTAGATGTAATCTTATTTTATAGATTTTGAAATGAATTTTGATGCATATGCAGAAATATATCAATTTTAATTAAACGACCACTTGATGATAACTATATTAGTAATGTGTTTTTTTATACAAAGCATCAACTTTGACTACACATTGGGCCTAACCTAATACCTCTTAGGCCATTGCTTTAATCGTTGCCTAACCTAAACTAGGACC